AAATTATATCATTTAAAGGCCTGGTCATCAGCATATTTGTCATTTTTGCGAGCATACTTTGTAAAGTAATGAGCGTTGAGGATACGTTCACCATTGTATGTTTTAAATCATACATTAATAAAGCACGTGTTCAATTATAAATTATCTAAGAAAATATCAATGGGTTATCATTATTATTGATAACTGATCGTATTAAACTCATAAAAATCCTCATGCAAATATGATTGTAACTTATCTTACATATCCCAATCGTACTCAATGGCAGCTAGGTGTCATTTGATTTGTCTATATTAAACAATTTTCTTTGTGTTGTGAACTGTGTTTAAAAATTCCTCAATCAGCAGGACAAAAACTGATATTACTTCGAAGAAAGTAATAACTTTTTTCACATTTTTTTTAAATTTTTATTGTCAAAAAAAATTACATTCAATAGACAGTCAAACCCGTATTCAAGTACATCTGAATAAAAGATAACCCTGTAAATAAAGGTCACTTTTTAATAACCCTTCATTGAAAAAAAATGGAATAAAATAATATCCAGCTAAGTACCACTTTCTATAAAGACCATTGTTTGTCCCTCCCGTGGATGACCTTTGCAGACAGGTTTGTCTGTAAATACTAACTAAAATAGCATTCATGATTTAAAATAGATACATGAATACAATTAAATAATACATGCAGCAGTATGAATTGCCAAAAAAAAAAGCAATTATAGAGAAAAACAGGTTAATTTTCGTATTTTTAGTTTCAATCTTGGACGCAATCTTATGTGGCATTCCTTGAAGTTAAAGTTTATATCTTGTATATTTGATTGATTTTTGTCTAAATCACTTTTTCCAAATATTTATACATCACACAGCAGGTTTCAAGTGTTGTGTAGCAGACTTAAAATGATTGCCCGTACTTCACTTCAGTGTTATATATTCTGGTCCTTCTCCAGCACTAATCAGCAGTGATGAGAATTGAGTACCGCTCAAGCCGGTGCTAGGGGGCGTGAGTGATGTTGCACTTTTTCATTATCCCTCATGTACAGACTCAATCAAACCGAGTCTGCAATTTTCATGTAATTCTGTTGTTTTAATGCTTTCGAGGGATCACTTTTTTCCAGATATTTAAAATATTTGATATAAATTTGATCAACTTTTTACAAAGACAAAATATAATAAAATGATAATGGATTTAAGACTGTCATAGCAAATATAAATGGTCCGAGTCGATATGCATAGATCGTTTTTGTATCAAAAACTAATAGGTAGCTAAACAATTGTCCCACTTGCTTTTTCAATGTCTATAAAGAAGATTATCTGTACTTGTTACTTATATCTGTGTTTGCGCTTATTGTCCCTGGACATTTCATTTAATGAAAGGATAAACAAAAGTGCAAGCCTTGATTAAAGAAAAACATATCTGTTAGAATATAGAATATAGAAACATTTTATAAAAATAAGTCATGAAAAAAGCATCAGTTTATAGAAAAATTATGACAAAATAGCTATACAAAATTTGATTTGTTTGCATTGTTGATGTGGATTTTATACAAATAACATTATGTAAGTAAATTCATGTTGAAGTCAATGTTAAGCAACTGTTAAAACTTGTGGCCTGTGTTTTCGTTCATGATTTCAAAATAAAATAGAACTGATTTATAGCATATTATAATAAAATGTTTTCAGTTATCATTTTAATATTACGATGGGCAATAAATACAAAATATTTAGATTTGATTAATACACTTCTTATGAATGTCATGAAAAAGAAACATTGTATTCATTAACTTATAACAGTTTTAGCATAGTCCACAGCCGTTACAAAGTGTTTATTTACATGTTCCTGTTTTTCATAATTGTTCAGCGTAAATATGAATTGACGTATATTATATATTCAGTATTTTTATACTCACTTAAATAAAATGTGGAGAGCATGTTGTTACCAGTTGTTGTAACATTACAATGACCAATACGGTAGATATATTTTGCATCTCAAGTTTCATGCAGTGTTCTTGAACAACTGGGTTTTTCAGCTGGGTATTATGTCGCGTCTTACCAGCTTTACTTGAATACTTGCTTTTTTGTGATGGTGCTTGCTTCCATAACTTTATAAGCCGCTTTCTTATAGTTTTCTTTCGTCTGATGCGTCATTAGACGTCTGTCACAGTATAAAAACGGGTACGCTGACAACCTTTAGCTAGTTTTGTGGTCGATTTTGGGTCAATTTCTTACATTAAAACAGAGTGTTCTATGTTTTCATGTGTTGTCACCTTATCGACGTTAGAGAGAGCGAGCAATCGTCAGATTTTCCTCCATCATAATTTATTTCAAGTTTTTTTAGACAGTTTCTTTTCCTGGACAGTTTTTTTCCTGTTTCAAATAATTTGTTGCCATGTGACTGACGGAGAGTTGGTAGAAGCGATGAAAGTTTAGCGGGGGTAGGGTCTGACCCCCAAGTTTCTGTGAATAGTGATAGAACTTTTAGTATACATTTGATAAAGATGCTTTTTTTAAATTTGCATTGGATTATATTTTACTCTATATAGTCGACAAACCAAGTTGACGTAATTAAGGTGTACCAAAATGTACTAAACGTAAAAAAGGTAGTTCTATCCTTCAATTATACACAGCCCATCACATGTCATTTAACAGTGAAACCGAAAAATCAACATTCAAATAATAATAAAGATCAACAAGGTAAGGCGACGTTCACAAAACATATCCCCGGACAAATTCCAGTCACACCAGCAGGACATCCAGAAGGCACCGACCAAAAAATGGGGAGAGGACACAAAGGCGGTGAAATGTATAAATAAAAAGATAAGATATGCCATCTTTATATGTACATGTGGGAAAAGGCCTAACAATTAAGGTCATAAACAACCAAACACAACAAACAAAATAACAACGACATCGACAAAAGAAGCAAACACTTTTATTGTTATAATATTTTACACATTTTTGTCTAAATAAAGAAAAAACAATGAATAAATATAAACGTTTTGTGCGTGAACATATGAAATGTCTAAACAATGAACAAAAACAAAGTCATATAAAAATCAAGGAATGATATAACCAGCATTAATTCATCTTGCTTGCACTATAGTTGTCTAAACAAAATTTCAACAAATTCATTTCATGGACAAAACATATTCAATATTGACACAATATCCCTTTAAAGCTGCATCCCTCTTGCTGAGCCAAAATATAAAAGAAAAAAATCAATTTTCAGAAAAAAAGTACTCAGATAATTAGAAAAGTAAAAATATTCAAGATTGAAGTAATAATTTACATATGTGCGATTAATGACTGATTTTGCAGTACGATTATTTATAACCGTGTTTTTACCGCGTGACTAATACAGTAAAGACTATTTTTGTATATTTTGAATTCTTTTTGGTAATTTACGTGGATTGTAAGTGCTGTTGGCAATGTGTAAAGTACTTTCATTGTTCCCTTCACAATATTTAAAAAAATTTCATGAAAATTTACACGAATCTGGATGCATGCTGCTTTTAACATCAGATAAACATCTTTTCGTTACAGGATAGCTCATGAAAGTCCAATTGAACTTTAGATTTTTATGCTTATTGCACTTTTTGTACAAACGATATCGATAATTATATTATTTGTTCCAAAGAACAAAGCACCATAAATTTCAATTTAGAATATGTCGTAAAAGTCTGGTTCCATGCCTACATTTACTACGTAGTGTAAGGGAAAGGAACTTCAGACTAATAAGAAAAGGTAAATAGAACGGAATACGTATTTACTAGTAGTTTGAAACAAAATTTATACGACGAAAGACGTAGAGATTATTTCATTGTTTTCTAAAACGTACATGATTAAGTTATGTTTAAATTATATATATATATATAAAAACAAGATTTGAATACGAAAAAAACAGCATGTGTTTGAATTTCATAAGCCAATTTTACGAATTTAATGATATTTCACATTCTTATAAAATGCAAATATAATATAAAAAAACAAGAACAAAGATCAACAAGCATTACAAGCAGTAAGTAAAACATGTTGTAATAGCAATTAATATAACATTTATACCCTTACATATTAAAGTTACATATATACAATATTTTCAAAATATATCTACGAAGTTTTATTTATTTAACTTCGCCCCGCGCCCTCGCTAATTAGCGTGTTTTCGCTCCGCGCCCCCGCCATTTTAACTCGTTAATTTTCGACTTTTCGCTTGGCGGGTCGCGGGGCGAAAACACGAACGGCACAAGTCAGCCACCATAGTATTTAGCTATTTATTTAGACATGTCCATAATTTAAGCAAATTAAAAAGAAATTTCAGTATCACAATACTTAAACTATACTGCAAACAGTAAAAGCGTCTAGCCAGATTTCGCAGTAATACAGAGCATTTTGTAACCAAAGAGTAAAGCATTAAATGCATTAATGCACCTACATTGTCTCCCTTAAAATATTAATTCGATTAAGTTAGCTTTTTTGTAGCTGCAATGTATTTGAAAATCCCTTGCAAAATGCTATAACAATTTTTACCTCCTATTTTCTACTTTGTATACCCATGGCATCGTCTTACCACGTAATTTATTGATTTCAGGACGGTGAAACAGACTAGTCTTAAGTTCAATATACATGTGACATGGGTATTTCATTCCACAACAAACAATAAAGTAAGTGACCCTAAAGTGAGATTGGGGTACGTTTAAATCATTACTCTATTGATTGTGAACATTATTAAGATCGGCCATTGACGTTACATTCATCAAACTAAGATGTGAACATTTAGAATGAGTTATAACAATTCTAAACATGTATCATATAAAAAACATTCTCCTTTTGATAGAAATGTTCTCAGTCCTTTATTATACGTGATGCTTTTGAAACTTAGTAGTAGCATACTCTTTGAATTAGCAGCACAACCTTTGTCACAGTAATGCCGATATTTTTAGAAAACTATAAATAAACAAAGAGAATCGTTCTTTTTTCCCTATAAACACATATTTCATAGATAAGATACAGAACTTCTAATCTTTCAAGTCTCACATATTTCCGAAACTGAAAACATCAAGCGCAAAACAACTATAAAAAATAAAAGTTTGTTGATCAGGTTTCAAATGTGGACATTGACCATTATGCCTATATACTAATTACATGTAAGTTTAACCTGTTCCATGTTATCCCAAGTGCTTTTCTGACATATTGGATTATGACAGTTTAGCAGATGAGGCTCGTCTCCTCGACAAACAAATGTTAATGAATCCTTCTCTTGTCCGAACTGGAAATCCGGTGATAGAATTCTGAAAACACCGAAAATGAAAAGTGTTTAAATAACAAGGGATATAGTCGTATTTTCTAAAATAAATCGAATGAAGTATGATCTACGGTGGTTACTATAGATATAATAGGGTAAAACATCAATTATACGCTTCTGAAAAGAAACATATTGAAAAATAACTGAAGGACAATAAATTGTGCTGTCTTCTATGCAAATTCAGCGATATCCAAACACACGAGTACAAAGCAATGCCTTAACAAAATTATTAAGAAAAAGGCGACCATTTATTGAACATTACTCATTAGGCACGATTGGGGTTGGGTTAAATAAAAAAAGCACGACTGTCCTAACGGAAGATCTTTATGACACCTTGTCTTTGTTTGCTAAGAGAAAGGAGAAAATCATTGGAACTGTACCAAATTATGATATGACTAAATTAGATGAGATTTAAATGTACTAGCAAATAACAAAGAGTGTTAAGAGAGAAAAAACACATCAAATACATGAAAATGGAGTTTATTTACGATTCATTTCGAAGAACCGAGCGGCATGCGACTTTTCTTTCATTTTGACCCCATCTGTGTCCATCATTGCTGCACTCCTTATGAACTCGACGCCAGGCGGTGTGGAACTTTACCCATAACAAACTTGATGTTATGTCGCTCTCCGATAATGATTCGGATGAAAGTTGAATATATACTAATGGTTTTCCTACAATAATATCAATTAAATGTTTAACCCTTTCGTTTGCTTCTAGAGCTGCAGTTGTTAAAATGTGAAGGTATTTGCCGGAGATATTTCAAAGAGAATTGTTACTCTAAACTTTGCCGGAAACAAATTTTCAATCTCACTTCAGGTTATGCAGGGAAAATAAGATCCATCCATGGGTAGATAAATTGAATTAAAAGGTTAAAAGTCAACATATGTTTATATTTTACCATAATTCATTTGAATCTTAAAAATTATTTTGCATTAACTCAAGTGACCAAATGAAATTTATATGAATATCCACCGGATTTGATCTGTAATTTATAAAAAAAAAAGAATTGGACAGAGTTATATTTTATCGTTAATCACCATCATAACAGTCAATCTTTTGAAATATATACTCAATTCAACTGAACTTGACAATGAAAAAATGAACATAATGTTTCTAAAATGGTTGATATAAATGGTTAATATATATGTCATATCTTCATTTTTTCTTAATCAATCTATACATAGTAAAAATATGTTTTTCGAATTAATCCTAAAGTCGATTCTCGAAGAAGTTGAAATAAAATATATTTCTTATATTTTATACACATATATTTTGAAATAATTTGTTTTCAAACTTCAAACAATTATTTCGTGAATATCACAAGACCGCTTTAAACACTTTAAGTAATTCACGTTTTAATTATGAAAGACCGGTGGTGCCATTTCAACTTCTTGAATACTCGGGTACACCATCAAATTGGTTCTTCTTCAAAGGGAAAAACAATTCTTTTTGGGTTTTTTATAGTTTATAGTTTAACAGAAAAAGTATAGTAATACATTTTAATATGTATGAAAGGTGACAATAACACAAATACAATTAATTTATTGATAATTTCGTTATTTAATACATTAGTTAGTTAATCATAAATGATTAATTAATCAATTAAAAATATACAAATGTATTAACCCTTAACCTGCTGGAACCCAAAGTGATTATTATTTGTCCACCAGTATAGAGCCAGGCCAGCCTGTACACCCGTGTAGTCTGATCAGGTTCTATACTGTTGGAAGCTCAATTTTTGTATTTAGATATTGAAATCCCTTGAACTTTGAATGGACTATTTCAAATTCAAAGCTGGACAGATCCATTATATAAATATTGCAGGTTGCGAGTTAAGTAAAATAAGTTACCGTCGCTGATGTTGTATTTGAAGCAAACTAATATCATCGGCAATTCTTGACTGTCCTCTGTGCCATTGAAATCACAGTTTCCTAAGGTCTTCTCAGTTCCATTGCAACTTATTTTCACAGCAATCTTATTTGTTTCAAAAGCGCTTTGGTGCCGTGCTCGGGAAAAGCCACCGTATCTTAAATAAACACAAACATCAAGTAATGAAAGAATGGTCAACTGTAAACTGGGCGCTTCTAAAAGTAAAATCCAATATATTTAGCCCAAGTTAATTACAATAGAGATTGCATCTGTATATTAAAGGTATGTAATAGAAAGAGCATCGAAACACGAGGCTATCGGATTTGTAGGAGGGGGCGTAGCCCCCGAGTATTAATCAGACTACCAAGTGTTTTGATATACTTTCTCTTTTGTATCATAGTCAAAAATTAAATCCTTGTTGTTACAATATGAACCCCCCTCCCCCCCCCCAAAAAAAAATGTAACCAATGAACGAGCATCTGAAAATGATATTTCTGTCGCTTTCCCTTTCTCTGCCGTCACAATAAGTAAACCCCAGCAAAAATGAGCCAATCAATGGGCATGCTCTCGAGTGCGGGTAACTAATACCTGCACTTCAGTTAACGCTCTGTGCATATACGATTTAACTCTGGCACATTTTCAACAGAAAGGTCCCCAAACTATGATACGAAAGAGTATATGAGAGGTATGCAAGTTAACTGTGAACTGTTTGATTGATTGGTATTTACTTTTCGGGAGGAATATCATTTAAATTTAATATCCGTATTTTTATTCATTTATTGTGATTTTGCGCATTTGCATTATTTTGGTTGTTTAAGTATAGGTTAAAGTTTATAAGTACGTATTTACAAAAATAAATTGGTCAGGCGCGGCGTTACCAAACTAGCCTTGAGTGGATAAGTCATTTGTTTAATTTCAAGGGGAGGAATCACGCCGTTCGTTACCCAAACAAACAAGATGGCGGATGCGGCCAAAAAGTAGGATTTTCCCTTTTTTCTCTGAAATTCGTGATGTTCATGTGTAAAGGTACATATAACAACCTTCTCCACAATTTTCCTGGCACACAGAAATTTATTTCATGGTGTTTCGTCCCGTACTTCTTCTGAAATGCGCGTCACCAGATTCGAAGCGAGAGAATTTTCCACCGGTTTGATCGTGGTAACGTACGGCTTCTTCTCTAAAATTCACTGTTTCGTTTACATATATGTATATTTACTGAAATCATTGACATTATAAAGTTGTAATATGTCGGCATCTAAGCATTCATGCCCATTCTGGCTAGAATAACCGCTGAAAATATTAAAATCGGGGCATTTTCCGGAAATGATAACGTATGGCGCACAAAATAACAATGATAACGTACGGCGCATTTTTGTCTGCTTAATTGATTTTCTATATAATAGAAAAGTTATGTTACCAATTACCAGACATAAGAGGATGTTTAGAACCAAATAAAGGAACTGAATAATATTTAGTGCTTGCATAATATCTGTCATGTGTTTTTGTATCGGATAGAAATATCCGATCCGAGGGCTCTTTCGCAATGGGCTGTAACGATGCTTGCTAACTTAAGCCCTTGTGCAGGTGCCAGTGGGATGGATATTAAAATCCGATAGGTAATCACGAGTGATATGTTTTCTTGCATATCATAGTCGAATATAGAGCAACTTTTCCACCTTTGGTGATCTTAAAGTTTCGTCAAAAGTGAAACTTGATCGCAAATTTCAAATATCTATGTATATGTTAGTGCTCATCCGTACTGTTCTATAGAAATTATAGATTTTGACGGGAGCGATAGCGACAGAAGGATGTTTTAATTTCTGTAGAACAGCTACGGATGAATACTAACATACTAAGTGTCAAGCTTTTTTGGCACTTTATTACGTCACTATGCTGTTCTATGAATTATAATCGACTATGAACGGAATTCAATAAAGTATCGTCTTTTGTTCTTCAATGAAAATTAACGCACATATTTTTTTAAGAAATACAGCGCTTTCATTGGGTGAGAAATAAATTTGGACACTACATAAACTTCTATTTTTCATAGTGCTTAATAGAACCGTGTTCGTAAAATAGACAAGTATAGTGACGAAAGAAAGTAAATATTAATGAAGCCAAATAAAGCTTGACACTAAGTATGTTAGTATTCATCCGTAGCTGTTCTACGGAAATAAGAAACATTCTCCGGCCGCTATCGCTCCTGTCAAAGTTTCTAAATTCTGTAGAACAACACAGATGAACACTAACTGATTACTACGCTACTATGATAATAGTGTTTACGAAGTATATGTTACTAACATATACTTCGTACACACTATTATCATAGTAGCGTAGTAATTTTTTACAGCTGTTCTTTCATAAAGATAATTTTTTTGTTATATAATCCATTATCAAGGTTTAGTTTTATTACACAAAGTCCATTTTCATACTTATAGTAAAATACTAAGTGCTTACTCTTTGATTAATACATAATAGTCACATTTTATTTATTTTTTTATATAAATCTAAGGTGATTTCTTCTGAAACCAGTTGATATATCACGTTATGTAGTTGTTTACGACAGCGATTGGAGTAGATTTATATATAGTTGCTTTTTTTTTCTTTTTAACACCAAATTTTATTTTATTCCAGTTGTCATTATTATAAGATCAGCACTAGTTGCGCACAAATATATCCATATTTTTAATACCGCTGCAAAACCTGCAATTGCATTTTTGTAGAAATCTCCCATTAATTTGTATGATCCTGTACGAATATTTCGTGATATTTTTTAAGTAGAACAAGGGAGACAATTAATGCATTACGATTCTTTTGGTAATTCATTGGTTGTCTTTCTTCAGTTGTATAAAACTTTGTAATAAACCAAAATTAATGATAATTTAGATGTTGAAGTGCTCTTACATGATTTCCCAACCGTCCGTATGTACACCAGTTTGTTCATGCACTTGTTTGTGTCTGATTATTAGCACATGTACTCACCTGTACACATGTTTATATGTATGTTCATATGTGCGTCTGTCCGTACACTTTTGACCGCAATCAGTACATACTTATATGCATGTCCAGACAAAAAGTGTGATGCTTCACATCAGCTTTATCGTTGTACCTGTCTGACTTTCATAGAGCCTGTCTGTCTGCAACCAGTTGTCTTAGTACATGTCTGTCTGCACACCAGTTTTGTCTTTATACCTGTCTGTCTGCACACCAGTTTTTCGTAGTACCTTTCTGTCTGCACACCAGTTTGTCCGAGTACATGTCTGTCTGTACACCAGTGTGTCTTAGTACCTGTTTATCTGCACACCAGTTTGTCGTAGTACGTGTCCGTCTTCACACTAGTTTGTCGTAGTACCTGTCTGTCTTCACACCAGTTTGTCGTAGTACCTGTCCGTCTTCACACCAGTTTGTCGTAGTACCTGTCCGTCTTCACACCAGTTTGTCGTAGTACCAGTCTGTCTTCACACCAGTTTGTCGTAGTACCAGTCTGTCTTCACACCAGTTTGTCGTAGTACGTGTCCGTCTTCACACCAGTTTGTCGTAGTACCTGTCCGTCTTCACACCAGTTTGTCGTAGTACCTGTCCGTCTTCACACCAGTTTGTCGTAGTACCTGTCCATCTTCACACCAGTTTGTCGTAGTACCAGTCTGTCTTCACACCAGTTTGTCATAGTACCCATTTACCTGCAATCTATTTTGTCAAAACTTTTGTCATTCTTTTATAACTGATAGTCTATTTAATCATTTTATTCATGTGACTGTTTATTGATGAAGTGTAATCTAATGGATTTTTATATACTTTTATGTTATTTGAAATTTATATTAGATTGAATCTTCATGGCATTTGTTGTCAATATATTATTAGTAGATTACAGCTTTATCACTAACAAATTTATTATATTAATTTCAATTCTTATTTTTTTTTATATAGTTCTCAGGCTAATTTAATTATAAATCAAATTATATATAATAGTTTCATGTAAGATGTCGCATTATTAAAATGTACCAGAATTAGCTTAGCTCAGAAGGCATTATATGTTTGTATTTCGAATTTTGCAATATTTTATTGTAGTTATGTATCTTTTTTTCTATCATTTGAGTACTTTGTTCACCTTTCCGTCTTTTTGTGATTACGCTTTTCGTCACCATTCTCCTTCTGGTTTCGTAACTCTCGTCCACTGGGTCGTCAGACCAAACAAATAATGGTAGCGAAATTTCAGACTCTAATGCTGTTAATTGCAAGTGCCGAAAGTAGTCCGCTTTTTTAAGCGGTTACTTCCCTTTATATGTAAACTAACGCCGAAAAATTCAGGGGAGATCACTGCGTAAAGGGCGCATTAATTTTCAAGAATGGTCGAAGATTTCTAATATTGTTTTATTCTTTATAGATATATATGCTTATAGTAAGCGCCATGATTATTTACATCTGTGTTAAACAACAGTTAGCGTCGTTACAAACCCTATATAGAATAATATAGTTTTCTTCAGGCTGTTAACAAATAACTTCACCGTGGCCTTTGGGTTTGCGCGCTCGCTTAGGAAGCGAGAGGTCTAGAGTTCAAATCCCAGTTAAGGCAACTCATTTTTTTCTAATTGTTTAAGTCAAATAAACATTGGATTGAATATCAGTGTTTAAATTAGTCTTATAGCCAATTTACTACAATTAAGACGCTGGTAAGCATTGGTGGCACTTTACAAAAACAAATTGGTTTATAATCTCACAACCTTCACCTTTCTGACATTCTGAGACCCAAACAAATTCAGCGCCTTCTGTGCTTTGATTTATGTTTGACGTGGTTCAAATATTAAGATTTTCTTAGTAATTTTGGAAAAGAAAATATATCAAGTCTTCCGTACCATTTTAACATTTTTGCACTGGTGAATGCATTTCTTCTTTCTGATAAGGGGATAAGACCATAATTATCGCACAACACTGGCGAAATTTAATGTGAAGACAACAATACACAAATTCTGCATTTTATACAAAAATATTCTCAAACTATAAACGTGTGTTTTACTTGGTATATTTACAACGAATATCTATTATGCCACCAGCTAGAAAGATATTGATACCCGATGGTGCAGCATTGTTCAATAATTTATTTCTGAGATGACAAATATCTATCATTTCCTACATACAAATAATTTATTATCAACTGACTGGACAAATAGAAATCCACCAAGTAGAAAAATGCGCCGTACGTTATCATTGATATTTTATGCGCCATACGTTATCATTTCCGGAAAATGCCCCGATATTAATATTTACACCAGTAAATCTAGCCAAAATGGGCATGAATGATTACTTGACAACATATTACAACTTTTTAAAGTCAGTGGTTTCAGTTCATAGACATATATGTAAAAGAAACAGCGAATTTGAGTGAAGAAGCCGTACGTTACCACGATCAAACCGGTGGAAAATTCTCTCGCTTCGAATCTGGTGACGCGCATTTCAGAAGAAGTACGGGACGAAACACCATGAAATATATTTCTGTGTGCCAGGAAAATTGTGGAGAAGGTTGTTATATGTACCTTTACACAAGAACATCATGAATTTCAGAGAAAAAAGGGAAAAACCTACTTTTTGGCCGCATCCGCCATCTTGTTTGTTTGGGTAACGAACGGCGTGATTCCTCCCCGTGAATTTCATCACTTTGATAAGTATGAAACTTGTCATTAATTTTAAGATGTAAAAGCCGTACAATGAGTGATCTGTATGTATAGAAAATTTCACAAAATATGATAAAAGAAAATAAATATGACAAAATATCGTTTCATCACGATTCGAACTTCTATCCTGAAAGACTAACAAATGAGTCTAAAAAGCAAGTTTACACCTTTTGCCTTAAATTAAAATTTGTATGGTTTACCTCGGAATCGGAATGTCATTCAATATTTGTATGTCTCAGGTCAGTATTGCCAAATGATACTCATATGTAGCTAAAATACAGCCGGTAAGAACATTATTATGTCATAAATCATTTTTTTTTTCAAAATGACAATTTGTTTTATCTCAAATGTACACGCTTAAAAATAAGGTATACATTTCACTAGCTTCTATTTGTCTTTCAATGTAAAAAGAAATAACAACTAAACAAAACAAAAGAATCAATATATGTTATACAGATAATATGGTAAATAATTAACTACAAGTCTGATTCAGTGAGAACAATCCAGAACTTAAATGCAGCTTTTGCAGCCTCTAACGATACATGTGTTTACTTCATCCATCCAAATGGAACATACAATTCAGGTAAAAATTGATAATTGTAAAAACTATGAAATATTTATTTAAAATATATTCCGAAATCCGAAATTAATTTCAACAGTGTATATCCAGAACCTCTACTCTATGCAACTTACTCAAGGCCATGTAGGTCTCTACAGACAACCTGGGTATTTTTCCAATTCCAGTTGTCGCTGGAAACCCATTTCCACTCGCCATCATAATTTATTTCAAGAAATGCATTTAGAAACTTTTCGGAGGAACTCGGCCTAATTTTAGAACGAAATCCTGTAACAAGATGCAAAACGCAACAGTATTTGTAAATAGTGGCTCATTCAGTTTTCTTATAATGTGCAATATATCAAATAACTCGAACAAAAATATCTGATCCAATATATCGTTAAATCAAAAAATGGTTTCCTTTTAATGTGTATTTTTGCTCTCCAAAATTACAATAGATAATCTTAAACTTATTGCATGTGGTTTATGCATATGATGTTTTCGGCTTTTGTTTTCGAATGTGTAAAGAAAACAAAATATTATTTTTTTTTACAAAAGTTGAACGTTAAACATTTCTTTAGATATATTTTGAAACTTTATCTGTATTACATTTATTTCGTATTCATATAGAGAGATACCCACCAACACATTTGTCTATTTCCTTGTCCCATCTTAGGTTCGACTGACACGTGGCATTACCCCCGCCAAACATACCGTTTGGACACTTAACTATATTCACAGCGCCAACGTTTCGACCATTAAAAGTACCCATTTTGGGTAAAGGGCAAACAGGGCGACCTGGCAAATAAATATTTCTTAAATTATCAAATACACAAACTCACATATGTTTTTAAATGATGACAGACAACGGCTTTTCTAGGAAAATATATTTTTTCTTAAAACATCATCAATATCAATCATTTTGTATGTGAGTTGAAGTCAATCAATATTTGTTAAAACAATTCTCATTTTACCGAATCAAGTTTATTTCGGTAGCGTAACGTACCGTGAAAACCATGTTTCAAGATACATTATGGCTTTTCTGTCGCAGTTTTTCCGTTGATGTTTAATTAATATTAATATTTTTCTTTCGTTATCTAACTATGTCTATGGTAATCAATAATGTCTGAAAGATTATCAAAAAATATATATATATATTTTAATTTCTAAACAGCTTCTTATATTTCAAGGTAATATTCACAATTTAATCATTTCTGACTATTCACTAGGCTCATAGACAAAGGTATGTTACACTTAGATTACATTCGTGTCCTATAGCTACCATTTAATATATTGGCAATGGCGGCTTTTTAATTCATTTGATAAACTCAAATGAATATCTTGTATCCTAAACGATGTATGCAATTGGAATTAGCTTGCTAAAGTTGTGACAATTCCTTTCCAATTTAATTATCTTGAAACCTTATATGAATAATACGTGTTAGGATATTGTTTCAAGTGAATGGGAGTGTAAGTCCCTTTTTAAGAAAGGGACTATTTCAGTCTCTAGAATAGAATAGAATAGAAAAGAATGGAATAGAATAGAATAGAATAGAATAAGAATTGAGTATAAAAGAATGGAATAAATTTTATTTCCAATCATGGGCCTTAACATTTTTATTATTACATAATAATGATATTGTACAAGATTTACAGAACAAAAACCCTAACATAATTAAAGCTTTATTATGATAAGCAAACACAATTAACAAAAAACTTTGAATCAATAAGAAACTAAGGCATTTTAAATACCAAAAATGAATAAAAAAGAAAATGTAATACTAGAAAGTCAAATTATTCACTATAAAAGGTCAACAAGATGTTATATTTATAGAAATTCGAGTCTAGATGAAAAACATTTATGGACAAAGTTTGCTACAACATCAATAGTATCATCATTCTCACTTAAAATCATATATACAAACTGTTCTGACATTTTCTATTAAATAATTTAGAAGCTTAGCCATTTTGATATTTTTTGTACAATGTATTTATTTTGCTTTATAATTTTGAATTTATGATTTAGATTTTAATTTATTTTAGGTTGGGTTTTACGTCATATTAGTACTGTAATTGTCATATTTGAATAGAGACCTCTTATGCTCCTCTGTGCAGCATTTTTTCCAACGACGTTCTGTAAGCTAGCAGGAGAGCTTTTTCATATGAAATAATCCAAAGCCCCAAACGGGAATAGAATTCACAGGGGTGATGGTAGAGGGTATAACTTATATGGACAAAGTGTCAGATATACACTATACAGTTTAAAAGTTACATTTTTCCCCTTTTTTTATTATATTACATATTAAACTATGAAATGACTTAGGATCAATATTGCAATGTAGATTCGCATGAAGATGCGTTGCAAATAGATCTACATGGGATCTATTCTTGATACGTCGCCATTACGGAGAAAAATATGACGGACTTTTAAAATTTACAAAATATTTTAAAAAATGTAATTGAAATAAGGCATTCTATTTTTTACGATGCTCCTATAGGAATAATAAAGAGACCAATGCATTGGGAAGAAAAATGCTAGATACATACTGAACTGCATGCAAGAGTACGAACACGTTCCATCATCTGAAGACATCAGCAGGTTCTTTGGTATGCACACCTCGTTGTCTTTGCATGGACGATTATAACAATTTTTGTCGACCTAGGAAGGTCGGTCATACACAGAAAGGAAAAAATCATTAATTAGATATGAAAAAAAGCTCATTTAATATGAAATTAATTCTCAGTATTACAGGAACTCCACTAAGGTCCAAAGACTTTAAAACTTAAAATTTAGAAATCTTACAGATTTTAAGAGTATTATTAAAAATGGGAAAATCTGCAAAGGATAATAAAGAAATATACTCGAAATTAAAGTGAAAATCGACATATGTGCGATTATCAGCCGGTTTTGAGTGAAAAGCGTTGCAACATTTTTCAATTTTGGGTCTTTTTACACAACACAAGGATTATTCGTAAAAAAAACGCGGTACGAAATGACCTGAAAATTAACACATATCATTAAAATACATAAAAATATTCCTAGTCCAGACATGTCAAAAACACTCATTGAAGTCCTTTAAAGAAAGATTAAAGGCTTCTTTGAAAAAAGAAGGAAAGAAATAAAACGTCAATAATTTATGTTTGGAATGTTTGGCTTACAACTGTGATACAAACTTTACAGTTTTGTTTCTATTTTTAAACCGTCTCTGATGTAAATTCTTGATATTTTTACGTACAATAAATCGAAGTATTATTATATTTAAAAGCTATAAGTTTTCTGAAAAATAAATATATAAATAAAATAATAATAAAAATATAAATACCTCCGGAGGCCAAGACCGGAACTCAGAGTAAACGTTTGATTTAGAAACCTTCTGTGTTCCATTCCTATATTTCTTATTCAGCTCACACATTCCTGTTTCCAGATCAAAGTTTATAGACTTACATTGCTTTTGTCTTACACATAACTTCATGCAATGTTCAACGTTCTGCGTCTTTGACCCCCAAAATTTCTCAACACCTAGTCCTATTTCACGAACAAGGTATTTCGAAGCATCAAAACAATGTCCAGAGTCCGCGCTGGCATCGGTAAACAGAAAATGCAAGAAAATACACGCAAAACCAAGAAACCAGTACATTGCCATGATCCACTAGATTACCAAATTATCGTGTATTTGATAAGAAAATACCTATTCATATTTAAGAATAATGTATAAAAACGAATCGACCGTTCTATGAGTACTAAGCTTGACACTTTCAAAAAGTACAGCTATCAAAATAAATTTTCGTTTAAATTCAACGAATGGAGATCACAGTTTTCCCGCGACATCCGATTTGTCAAGCCGCTTCATTTTGCGCATAGTTATACTCGTTCGTTTATAAATTTTAACTCTAGTTGGTAATCAATCACTGTAACAACTTGCGTTCAATATTGTAGCCAATCATGTATCAAAATTATGCCATATAAAACATTATTTATTAGTTTCTCTGCCGCTTGGAAACATCAAAACATTACCTTTCGAGATATACAAAGTACCATGAAAGGAAAATGGAATTTTACATAATGAAAAGAATTATTTATTCTGCAAAAGGAAGCTCTTTTAGTACACGGCCAATATCATCTGGGTAAGTTTATGGTTTTAAATGGCAAGTGCAAATCAGCCGACACCCCTTGCAAAAACGTATGCTGTATTATATAGTGGTTTATGGCATGTCGTGTTTGTTGCTTTTGTGTCGTGTTACTGTGATGTTAAACCCAACAACAACAACAACAAAAATCAAAAAGAAACACAAGCATTATAGAATTATCAGTTCTCAGGGTTTTTTTTCTTGCCAATACAGTATAATTTGTAAAGTCTAATTATTTTAACCGAGGACACATTTCAAAACAATCATGCCTCAGAAATGAGTAATTATATTTATTCTAAAGAAGGAGCTATCAATTGTTTCATTATGTTTTAAATATTTTATCTAAAGCGTTTTAAATACATATAGCAAAAAAATAGGACGAGTATGAAACAAAATTGGTAATAAAGTTGTATTTTGCCTTAAATACAAAATACTTAATCACAATACCTAAACCAATTATCACAAGCAAACAAGCAAAAGAAACAAAAGATGGTCAATGAGTCCATTTTTTTCAAAAATGGCAATATGTTGACGGTTATTTGCAATATTTACAATATTTCCAAACAATCGTTTATATAGGGCCATATAACCTTAACATATAAAAATCTTTATAACTAATGGTATGTTTACTTCTCTAAAGATATTACTGGTAGACCCTGGATGCCTCTGTGCGCATGTCATGTATATCGTGCATGTGTAGGCAGACAAACACCCTCCAATCAAAGCTTTGTTAGACTCCGTACATGAATAATTTAATATCCCAGTCATATCAATTGAAGATAGCAACCAGCCATGGCTAAAATTTCATTTAAATATCTTATATTGTTTTACACTGGTTCAGAAGTTGGTTGCAATAATTATTCTCCATTGTATTAGCTGATAAATGATATCATTACATTCTACCACAATGGTATTCAGCTAATGCAATATTTAAAATTTTCGCTCTCTTGGAGCAGACAAAAGCAATTATTTCCCAGTTTATTGTTTGTGTTTTTCGAAATAAATGAAATATTAATTTAAAACTCAGTGAATCGAAACTGTACAAAACCAATTTTATATGCTAAAACATATACAATATGTATACCCTGAACTCACAATATATACGATATTATACTTTAAACAAAATTTGAATTTTCAAGAGTCATACGATACAACATTTGTTTTTGCTATTTATTTCATTATATCTTAACGACAATATGCACTTCATTTAAAGAAGTAATGACAAATTCTGAGAAAAGGATGATAAAATTATCTCATTATCTTTGATACTTTGATAAATATTATTTATGAAGAAGACCTTAATCCAGGTCTAGTTAAATGTATTTATTACAGACAGATGTGATTGATAACTGAATATAGACATTTTTTATTCACTATATATTTTTCCAGTACAAATAATGGACCATCAGAATGAGAAAAAGCATATAGATTTCCCAGGCGCTTATGGACTTTTTAAAAGTCGGTTTCTTCTGTAAAGTATGGTAGGTAATTCGTCGTTGTCAATATATTCACTGATTTCCCGTTTCCCAAGTGAGTTGCTCAAGGTTAATCTCTTTTTTTTCTTTCTTGCAGCTCATCACATAACATTTTCTATTACAAGTAGAATAAGTCGAATATAGAAATAAAACATACTTTGGCAAACATTCCATAGGCTAATGTGTGAAATATATCTTCAATATTTAACGCATATAAAACGTTTTTGAAACGTTCATGTTTTGCAAAATTGGATAACTCTGTTATTTTGTTATATTGAAAAGTAGAAAATAACTTTAAACTCAAAATTTTCCAAGAAATTATATATTATGATCTTTTCAAAATTTCATAGCGGTCTTAAAAGGACTTAAACTGATATCCCGCTTGTTTTGCGTTACTAAAAATGTATATAAACCACTTTAAAAGATATCTGTAAAAATAGCCTCCTTATCAATAACAATAAGGCAATGGCATATTTTAAAGTATGTCCTTTAGTTAAAAAAAAGGGGGGGGGGGGCTATTATTACTCCTGTAAATTTTTTAAGTTTCTGATAAGGACAAGCAAAGTTCTATTAGAAGAATTCTAACCCACAGCGAAGGGGCAAGTAGATGAACGCTAGTCTACATTTAAACCCCCAATAGTTAGCCGCTAAATGTCGCAACCGCCGCTATACTCGTATGTCGCAAAATCGTCTGCGGTTAATTGTCGCAATGGTAACGTTAAATGTCGCACGGATTTCACTTCCCGTTAAATGTCGCAACGCTATCGTTAAATATCGCAAGAGGTAAATTCATGTTAAACTTGTTGCATTCAATTTGTCTTTATGTTAGTTATATGTTACTGATCATTAATTAAGAAAAAAATGAATGAACCTGAAGATAGACTTAACATACTAGGAAGCATCTTGTAGAAAGATTGGATTGAGATTTTATATTGTATGTTCGCATTTTCCCTAAATCTTCAACTTGAAAGGTTTTGAGATATTGTCACTATCAAATTACGAATGACGGTCTTAAAAATTTCATTGATGCAAAAACTTGTTTTTTGTTTTGTTTTTTTGTTTTGTTTTTTTTTAATTTCTATTTCAATTCAAAATAGTGTTTCAGTCATACACGTATACGGTATGTTATAGATGTTTGAAATGGGCGGAATCAAATTCATATTTATATTTAGTGACTACTATCAGATGTTTTTTCTCTGACATTCAATAACTTCAGTAACTCATTTCATTATAAGACATTAAAATAATAATTATGTTATGTTTTCTAAATAAAGTCTAAGATGACAACATTAAATTGAATCTCACTGATGAATAATCATAATATTATTGCATACATTTATAATCTAGCACAACTTTTATTGTTTTTACTCGATGGTTACGACTCGTGAAAATATATGGAATTTTATCATATTTCGTGAAAATACGTTCCATATTTCACTAAACAAATATCATCTTAAGGTGACAACGGAGTCAATTATCACTCAAAATACCTAAAATGAGATTTTTTTGCTTAGTAGATTTATCAACCTTTTCTGAACACATTCTTGATTTAATTTTGGTAGCAGTTAGTCCAAAAATGTGTTTTTAAACATTTTAAAACGGTACCTATCGCATTTTATCTGCTATTCGCGTAACGTGTCAATTATCGATAACGCTCCGCCCCCTGTTGAGGCATCAATGAGGGAAATCGGTAGTTCCATATATCCGTGAATTACCGCTCCATACTACTCGTAATACATGTATCGTACAAATACTGTACATCTTTTATGAATATCTCAACGTTATATCATCTACCTTTTATTTAGCCTTTTTTATAAATTAAGAAATTATCGACAAATGTACGTAACATAATGTATGTAACATAAATAATTAAGCATAGCGGCAAATCGCACGACCACGGGGTTGATTAAAAAATGTAGTTGCTAAAATATAATGTGTGAAATAATAATTTGTTTGTCCCGTTAATCTGATATTACATTGAGTATATGGACTTTTGTACGGATTCAATGGCTTGTTTTACATTCAACCTCGTTTTCTAACAATGTCAAGTAAAACAACAACAAAAAACAGACAATATTTTTTTATGTGAACGCCTATATGACATGTGGTAAGGGGTCCCTGACAAATTTCTAAACCATTTTTACGATTGTCTAAGGATGATTATTTCTCTATGAACCAATAAAAAAGATATTAAAATATATTATTAGTGACTGCTTTGAATAAATTGTTCGCCAGTAAATCGAACACAGTACTAATAAACCTGGGACAAAGTATGAAATTTATTGAATATCCCAGTAGAAACTGGATCTCTATGCCTTGCATAGATGATATTCATGATAATAGAAGTCAAGAAGGTCAGATCATAATGATCGAGTAATATCTTTTATTTCTATTAAAATATGTGAAGCATTTATATCAATTTGGTGGAAAAAATATATACATGTAATATCCCGTTCTTATTTGTACATCTACCATGGACTTTAAAGGACCGTCAGAAGCTCAGTTTTTTGTTATTTTCATTTATTTTTTTTAACGGAAAATACACGAATACACAGGCAGAGTGATACTGGTATAATATAATAATAATAATGCTGATGACAATAATTATAAACTTCAAAAGTTTATATACCCAAATTGAATACCCCGCTAGCGATGCGCAAATGCGTTCCATTTCCCCCCCACGAGTGCCTCAAATTTTACCGATAGTCACGTGACATGTGCGACAGATACCAGACGGACAGTAAATCACGTTAAGATTTGAAGAAATTTCTGCTATAAACTGATATTAATCAGCAGCTTTTTAATTGGTCAGATGTCACTGGGTCATAAAATGTTGTTTAGAGTATGTTACCGCAACTTGTGACCCTCTCTGGTGCGATACTATTTTGAAGCAAAATTGACTAAGTGTAATGATTTTCGGCTTGAAACATAGCAACAATTCAAGTAAAAAATATCATAAATTTCTGCTACTGTGTAAAATATTGCACGTCTGTTTGGAAATCAATGCTACTATCAAATGATATCTACATCAATTTTTCAAAAGTATGCACTTGTCATCTTACATGTTTATCAACCGTGGGTATCCGACGATGCGTTTTTGTCACATACCTATGTTGCTATAATGTTTCATTTTTTATTTAGAGTGAACATCGAGTAAATACTTGTCGTGCTTTAGAAAACAGCTTTGAATCTGAAACAATTTTTCCTGATAGCATCTAGATGTAAACAAAGTGGTAGTTTGTCTTCCATTCAAGAATATCTAATAACTATAACTTCATGGATGATCAAAATGTAAATGTTAAAAAAGGGTTCAGCTATATAGCCAATGCATACCCTTTCAAAAAGTGTACACAATCTTGAAAATAAGAACCTTTCGGGAAACAAAAAATTTATAGTACTCATCGAGGCTGTCCGAAATGGTAATCATCCGAATAAATGTAGTATTTACATATGTATCTATTCAAGACATTCACTATATAATGCAAAATGATGCTAGAGCTATAAAAACTAAATCATCAATATATGTATATTACAGCCAGGTAATATACTATAATTATCTTTAAATAAATCACTAAAGGTGTTTCAAATATTTGGTTGTGATAAAGTAGGCAGCCATTACAGATGTGACATGTATCACGTGGTACAAAATCAGAATGTTTGATTGGACAAGAAGTTACTGGAGTCTAGAATTAAAGT